AGCAGCTTTCTTCCCCCTGCATTCCCAGAGGAGCAGCTTTCTTCCCCCTGCATTCCCAGAGGAGCCCAGGCCCATCTCCCCCAGCCCTGGAGCTCCAAGGAAAACTCCCCCCTTGTGCAGGATCCTGCTCCAGCAGAAGCACAGCTGGCACTGCAGGAGGGCTGAGCCCCCCTGGGATGGGGCTGCTGCCACCTCCCTGACCCACAGGCTGCCAGGGCCTGCTCTGACTCTGCCAGTGGTGTTCTGCATTACTGCATTTTAATTTTCCTAATAAAGAACTGTTATTCCTACTCCCACATCTTTGCCTGAGAGTCCCCTCATTTCACAATTATAATAATTCAGACAGAAGGGGTTTATTTACATTTGCCATTTCAAGGGAGGCTCCTGCCTTCCTTAGTAGACACCTGTCTTTTCCAACCAAGACAGTCTTTGAACTAAGCCCCCACTGGCGCTCTCAGGCTCCCAGTGCTTTCCCCAGATCCATCTTAAAAGCTACAGCAGCCATTTCTGGGCATAAAACAGACATGGAATAGAGAATAATCAAAAAATCACCTCAAGACAGTTGTTCAGCTGGTGTCATTTCTTGTTAGCTTAAGCAAGAAGGGTTTTTTTCTTCCCTTTTCACGTCCTGAAGAGACTGCAGCAGCAATCCTTTGGTGGCTTTTGGTTTTTTTCTTGAATTGTTTGTCTTGATTTTGGTCCAAGATCAGACAATAGGCAGGAGCCAATCAGTCAGTAGCGATCCACTAAAATCCACGAGCTTCATTTGCTGTGTGGAGGAGACCAGTGCCAGAGGTTCCACAGGTTCCCATATGTTTTGCCTGAACTACTGAACTACTGCATGATTTTTTTTCCCCTACCCTGAGACAAAAAATCTGGTGCCATTTTGTTCCTCCTGCCACACAGCTGGACTGTTTCTTTCCCTGGCATTTTGGGTATTTTTGATCTGCTGTGGGGTGTGTGTTGAGGTTCTGATGGTCCAATATGTAACATTTGTTCAATTTTTTTCCTTTGCCATGTGAGCTCTTTGTCAATAAACAGCTGGGTTTTTTCACTTTCACCCACTGGTATCCATTTTCCATTGACAGGAAAATGGATTACTGAAGCCTTTTTTCTTTAGCAGAAACACTCATTCCAGAGCACTTTCTCCTAAATTTGTCTCTAAAATTAAAAAACCTGCTCTTCCCAGCTAAACCTCTCTACCCCATTTTGTCCTCATCACTTTGTCAAATTTCTGGCTCCCTCCCTTCACTATGGAATCATCCTCTTTGCTTTAGTTACTCCTTAGGTCACATTTTACCCTTTGTCCATGGCCTCACAATCATGAGAGCCCAGAACACCCCACTGTGTGCATGCAAAAGTGTATTTGCATTCCCACAGGTTTATGTTTGCATTCCCACATGCTGTTCCAGCACTCCTGCCTCCACTTTGTGCTGTCACCTCTACTCATTGCAGTGCAAGGCCATGTGTGGGCTGGCTAGGAGTGACATTAAGGCGTTGCAAAAACATTGGACACCCTCCCACTTGTGCTGAGCTGGGCAAAACATGAGTCAAGCTATTCAGGTGCTCTTCAAGTGCACAGTCCAGGGGTATTCAAACTCACAAGATTAAGTGAACCAGAGAAGAGCAGATAAAATATAACACAGAACTGTTGGAGTGAGTCCAGAGGAGGCCAAAAAGATGATTACAGGCATTGAAGAACCTCTTCTCTGAGGAAAGACTGAGAGAGTTTGCATTGTTCTGCCTGAAGAAGAGAAGGTCTCTAAGGGAGACCTTAGAACCCCTTCTATTGCCTAGAGGGGCTCCAAGATAGCTGGAGAGGGACTTGGGACAAGGGCATGGAGTGACAGGATAAGGTGGAATGGCTTAAAACTGACAGAGGGGAGATACAGATTGAATGTTAGGAAGAAATTCTTCCTAACAAATGCGAGGGTGATGATGCCCTGGCACAGGTTGCCCACAGAGAAGCTGCAGTTTCCTGTCCTAGAGTGGCTTTATGTTGTTTGTACCCCAACCATCTCTTCTGTTTATGCTGGATATTAAGTTCTGCACCTTTAGACTGGTTCTGAGAGCAAAGGAGGGAAGAAGAAGCTCTTCTTTTTTTTTTTTTTTTTTTTTTTTTTTTTTTTTTTTTTTTTTTTTTTTTTTTTTTTTGGAACTGTTCTGTCTTTCCCTGGACTAAAAACCCAGAAGAACACCAGGAGCTCACACCTATAGCCCACCGGGGCCCGGGATATGGCATTTTCCAGAGCAGGAAGGACTGATAAGAGACTGAGCGAGCCAAGCTACACCCCACAAAAAGTTCTTTCTAAATTTGCCATCTCTTCAGAACAGCAAGAGGTTTTACTGTTTAAAATTATTCACTTTTTATGCTTGAGAATACTTTGTTTGTTAAAAAACCAGGTTTTTTCCCCTTTTCACCAAGGAAATATTTTCCTAAACCAATTGGGGGACAGATCACTTGAATCTGCTTTCTAGAGGGATCCCTTTGGAAGTTTCCTCCCAAATTTGCCACAAACCATGACATTGCCCCATCCCTGGAAGTGTCCAAGGCCAGGCTGGATGTGGCTTGGAGCAACCTGGGATAGTGAAGGGTGTCCCCTGCATGTGGCAGGGAGGAATTGGAACGAGATAATCTTTAAGGTCCCTTCCCACCCAAACCACTCCAAGATTCCATGAAATGGATCTTCAGTCCACCGAAAGCATAAATGAGCTGGAAGAAGTACATCAGCTGTGCTTGGATGCCTTTATTTATGAAATGAGCTAAAACAGAGTCTCAAAGTACAATTTCCAAAGAAGTTCCTTCAGTAACTGTACATTTGGCTCCAAGCTCTTCCCTCAGCCTTTACCTTCAAGGCCTCGTTTTCCATAAAAGCCTGAAGGAAGCACTCCCCAGCTTTTTCCAAGGAAAGGACAAAGGACTGACCTCCCTTGTTCTCAGGGTGCTGAAGATGAGCACCACAGAAAATCCTCTGAAAAGCAGTGCCAGAGAGAAAATGGCCCCACAGCCAGTCCCTCCTGGCAGGACAATGTCACGTGGCACTGGCTTTATCCAAAACTCTGTCTTGATCAAACTGAATATCCAAGAGGTACTTTGGTCCATGGAAAATGGTTCTCTCCATTTAGGCATGACAATGGAGAGAAGAAATACTCTGGTTAAACTTTTCTTGACACTACCAGAAAAAAAAAGCTTTGAGCTATACAGTCAAAGATGAAGAACCACCATGTGCAACTCCCAGGCTTCTTCTGTACCTATCCAGTGGGAAAAGAAAGTTGGACTGAGAGGCATGAGATAATATGAAGGGAAGCACAGGAAAAACACATTTTTTTCTTCACAGTATAAGACAAAAGCAGTCCTAAATCTTCTAAAGACAAAATGAATCCAGCAAAACAGGAATAGATTAGAACAGAGTAGAAAAGATTTAACACTTCCCGGAAAGATTTTAACTTTTTTCTAAGAGACCAACTTCCACAACATCCCTCAGTTTCCTGGAATGGGCAAATCAATTTGGCCCCACACTGCAGCCCAAGAGAACCATTTTCCATGTCCAAACCATCATGACAGGCATCAAATCAAAGCCATTAGCACTGAAGGGAAAATTCTGCTGCCTGTTAAACGTCCGTGCTCTCTGCATTCTGTTTCTTCCATCACTTTTTTTTTTTTTNAAAAAAAAAAAAAAAAAAAAAAAAAAAAAAAAAAAAAAAAAAAAGGAGTGTTTTTATGAGAAAAAAAAAAAAAAAAAAAAAAAAAAAAAAAAAAAAAAAAAAAAACAAGTGTGAGATTATTTTCAATGTTGCATCTGCTTCAGCTCTCCGGTTAGTGAGCCCAGTTCTCTCTTGCAAGTTTAGTCAATGCTCTAGTGTGTGCCTTGCTGGACAAAGTTTAGTCTCACCTTCTTGGAGACATAACAGGAAAAACAAAGAGGAAGTTTCTCCATTCTAATTCTTGATTCCTTCCTTTTTTCCCTCAAGTAAAAAGCAGCTAATTTTCTCTGGCGAGAGCACTGTTGGACAGCAGTAATAGCCTGCAGTGCCTGAGGACAAGCTACAGAGGGAGATACAGGAAGGCAAAAAAGACAAGGAAACCCAAGAATTGGCAGTGATGGCCTAAGCAAAGGTGGTGTCCTGTGGTGGAGAGACCCTGCCTGTCCTCAGTGCCCACACAGCACTAGGCTGCATTTATCCACAGCCACCTGCAGCCCCAGCTAGAAGTATGTGGTCTTCGTGCTCTCATTGTCCTGGCCACCACCTTTTCCTTTCACTTGCCCATTCTGAGAGCCGATGGTGGCATTTTCGCAGACCTGATGGAAGGGAAAAGGGTGTGAAAGCAAGGAAAGGTGTGCGAAGAGCTGATGGCAGCTGTCCCTGAGACAAGCAGCCTTCAGCAACTTTCTGACTGCTCCTGTGGACAACCTTCTCCCAGCAAGACAACAAACTGGGATGCAATTCCACCTGGTCCCACGGGCAATGAGGGCTGGGAGCTATGAGAGGGTGAAAGCCAGAGGATGTGGCTACAAGGCACCGGTGTTTCCCTGAGGAGGGCAGAGGGAGGAAGCACTGGCTGTTCTACCCCATGGACAGAAATGAAGGGATGACCTCCACATGCAGGATTATGGGGTCTCCTCCCCTGCTTCCACAGTGGGACAGCCCCACTCCGTGCCCTCCCACCACTGTAATTCCTACAGAAACCCCCAGCACGTGCAACGCCAAGGGGCTCCCCCAGCGCTGGCTGCCCACACCCCTACCCCACAGGCAGTACCAGGGACCCACCTGAGCCGTGGGGTGGCCGTCCCCTGTGCCATCTGCCAGGTCGGTGCTGCAGGTCTCAGGCAGCAGGACACAGAGCAGCCCCCCCAGCACGGGGCCGCTCCCGAAGATGGCCATGGGGATGGCCCGGTGGTACTGCCCCAGGAGACGGACCAGCGGGGCCAGGATCCCGGCCACCCGCGCCGACATGGAGCACAGCCCCAAGCCCGTCTGCCTGTGGGAGCATGGGCAGGGTCAGCACCCCCGGGCCACCACGGGGATGAGCGTGGCTGTGGGGACAAGCGGGCTCCTGCTCGATCACCACTGCTCTGATTTGTGGGGAGAGCTCACCTGACAACCGTGGGGAAGAGCTCGGCAGCATAGACGTAGGAGGTGGAGAAGGAGGCTGAGGCAGCAAACTTGCCAATGGTGGCCAGCACGGTGGTTGCCACGGGCTGGTCTGAGGGGAGGAGAGACACAGCTGCTATGGGATGGGGGAAGGCTCAGCACCACCCACAGATGGAGGTTGGGGATTGCAGGGACAACTCTTGTCACCTGCAGGGAGCCATCAGCTCTGACAGGGTCTGAGCATGGACCAGGCTGCTCTGGCCTGGTGGCCACTTTCAGTGAACTCTGCATCCATCATCTCACTTCCCCAGGGATTAATTTTCCCAGAGCACAGCTCTGTTGACAGAGAGCCCACTGGACTCGGCTCTGCCCTCTGCTATCACCATCAGCAAGAAAAATTTTGATTTTTTGGAATGGGCCCTGTGGGTTCAACCTGTTAAATGCGGCCACAGTCAGCTCAGGCCTAGAGGGATGTGAACCACCCTGGCTGGGAGGACAGAACCAACAAGGGAAAGGTTGGGGCTCTGTGCCTCCCTGTCCCAGAGGATGTCCTCTCTGTGTGGGATGAGGTCATTCACCTTCAGGGATGCTGGTGATGATCAGACACACCAGGCCACTCAGCACCAGGAGAACAGCCTGCGTTTTCCTCCTCCCGAATCTCTGCAGAATGAAGATACAACCAACACGGGCTGGGATTTCCACTGCTCCAAAGGCCAGCTGAGTCAGGTAGATGTCCAGGCCAAAATTTGTCACGTTCAGACTCAGCCCATAGTAGACAAAGCTGTTCACAAACCTGAAAGCCAGGCAGGATGGCACTGAGCAGGTATCAGTTATGAGGATCAATGCAATATTATTGATCTCCAGTGACATTTTGACCAAGCCACAGCATTTCCAAGGAGATGTAAAACCAGAGGAAGACCACAGGTCTGTCAAAGCTGGAAATGCTATAACCTTTCCCACAAGGCATCTTAAACAGCCAGGAAGAAGAAGCACCCTTCAAATAACACACAAAACCCACAAGATGAATTTCTTGATACTAATTGTCAATCCCTTCTTTTCTTTCACCTAAAAGTTTGGGAAGAATGCACCAGGGAATGTCTTACCAGGCAAACAACATGATTGAAGTCATGTTCCGCATGTGCTTCTTCCTAAAGAGATCCAGGAAACTTCCAGACTTGACCTCTTTCTCAGGCTTCAACTTCCAAACACAGAAAATCAAAGAGTCAGAGCAGGAAAAGGAAGCCCATGTCCAGCTCCTTTTCCACCCGCAGTCCATGGAAAGCCACGGAGGGGCAGGTCTGTGACCCCCAGTGCTCTGGGAGGGAGGGCAGCCCCACTGTGCTCTGGGTGCCCAGCACAGGGGTGGTGACTGAGAGGTTCCTCAGGATGAACATCTGCCCAGTGTAGGAACTTTGTGATCAGCAAGGAGGGAACTCCCCTTCAGGCATTTCTGTGTGGAAACCCACAGACTAAACAGACTCTGTGCTCATCAGTCACACTCCCAGAATCCTTATGGGAGAAAAGCCAGGCAAGCATTTCAGTCCCTCCCACATCCCCAGGTGTGCCCCGGCAAGCTCCAGGCTGAGCCTCAGCAGAAGCTGGGCCTCTTCCCTGACCTCATCCCTGTGGAGCTCAGCTGAAGCTGGAGTCACCCCCAGGCCATGCCCAGACCACCCCCAGTGGGAATGGAGAGATGTTTCTGGGATGAGCTGAGCTCCAGAGGTGCTGCAAGGCCCAGGGCAGTGTCTGAGCACAGGAACCCCCAGTACCTGCTCCAGGAGCTCTGGGGGGAGGCTGCGCTTGTTGGTGGCGGCCGCCTTCTGCAGCACCTTCTTGGCTTCCTCGATCCTGCCCTTGGTCACCAGCCAGCGAGCTGACTCTGGGAGCACCCTGCCAGGAGAGGAGGCCAGGACATGCTGCTGTGTCCTGCTGAGCTGCCCACAGCCCCTTTCTCTGGGAGCACGTCCAGCAAGGCCACCACACAATCACACCCCGGAACCACAGAATCGTCTGCAATGGAAGGGACCCACAAGGATCATCAAGCCCTACTCTAAAGTGAAGGGCCCATGGGATTAATGGGTCTAAACACCCTAAATTTAGGCTCCCAAGGCCACATTTGGAGACCTGAAGGAAAGCAGCTGCTGCTCTCAGCAGCCCAGTGCCCAGGGAGACGTGCTGAGCTCTGCAGTAGCTCCTCCAGCACCCGCACTCCAAGGGGAAAGACCCAGCTTGGTTCTGAGCTGCTGCCTCCTCCTCACTCACACCCCTCACACTGCTGTCATTTCTGCAGGAGCTCTGTCCACATCCTACTTACCCAATGCAGAAGAAAAAAACAAATATAGGAGCAGATCCTGCAATCTCCAGCAGCCTCCAGTTGCGAATCCCGTAACTCAAACCAGCCAAAATCATCTGCCCAATGGCAAAACAGCAGTGAGAAGTGAGCACTGCCTTTGGCCGGGAGGAGACACCGATCCATTCTGTAGCTGAAAGGAAGAAGGAAGGCTCAGAGTCATCGAAATTATTTCCCCTGAGGCAAACTGGTGTTTCCATGGAGAAGAATTATTCTGGAGGTGAGGATTAGACTGACCTCCTGTGCTGGAACACTGTCCCCTTGCCCTCCTCTGAGCACTGGCTGGAGAGAGACGCTCCCCAGAGCTCTGACTGAGGGCTGAGAAGTTGCCAAAGTACCAAAGGACAGTGAAAATCAAAACCTGTCCTCACGGTGGTGTTTTTCTAGCCAAACACTAATATTTTTATTTTTTTGAAGACTTTTGTATTGCATCTTGAGATGCCCCAGGGCAAGGGCATCCTACTCACCTAAGGCCAGTACTGTCATGGTGATTCCTGACACGGAGGCCCCCACAACACACCTGAAGGCCATGTACACATAGAAATGGGGCACAAAGGCAATTCCCAGCCCAAACAAGCCCTGGAGGAAGATGGAGATCAGAATGACTGGGCGGCGGCCGATCCTGGGGAGAAACAGGGAAGACACAATCGATGTCTGGAGAGACCCCATGGAGATGGCAAGGAGCCCAGCAGGTTATACAGTGATTTTTATCATCCTGATAAGGCTCAGAGTAGACTGTGGGATGACAAGCAAAGCACTGTACACACATGCTGTATCTGTCTCCCTTCCCCTCCCTGTGTGGCCATGTCCTCATGGGACCTGAGGACTTTGGTCAGGGTCCAGGTAGTGAGAAGTGGTAACAAAATGCAGAGGGTGCACAGTCCAGGCAGGCTCACACTACCTGGTCAGTGCTGTGCTGGCTTTGCACAGAGCCTAGGAAGAGGGCTGTGGCTCCTCACCTGTCACTCAGAGGCCCAAAGATCATGGATCCCAGGAGCATCCCTGCCATGTAGATGGCCTGGGCAATGTCATTGAGGTCCTTCCTGTCACACACCAGGTCAAACTGGAGAAAGGAGAAACAGATGCTTTGGTATTCTCTCTTCCAAGGATGTGAATCCCCACAGCACTCACAGGGCATGCAAGTCAGAGGTGGGACAAACCCTTGGGGCACTCAGTGAGGTCCCTCTCCCATGCACTGAGACTGCAGGAGTCCCCCTTGTCTAGTCCAGCCAACCCAGGGGAGCCTCCTGGTCAGCAAATTTTGCTTTAGGTGGGCCTGGGGACAGAAGTAGCAGCTTGCTTCCTGCCAGACCCCAGAGGAGAAAGGATGCAGTGCTGATTCCTGGGACAAGCAGTTTCTGTTAAAGAGATGTCCTGCAACTGCCAGCCTCCAGAGGACATCAGTGGAAACAGTGACATAGGAAGGATCATAGAACCATAAAATGGTTTGGCTGGAAGGGACATTAAAGACCATCTAATCTGAACTCTCTTGCCATGGGCAGGGCACCTTACACTAGACCTGGCCTTGGACACTTCCAGGGATGGGACAGTCAGAGCTTCTCTGGGAAACCTGTGCCAGGGCTTTACCACCCTCACAGAGAAGAATTTCTTCCTAATATTAAATCTAAACCTACTCTCCTTTATCTTAATTTAGCATATTTCACAGCTAATGATTGTGATATTGTGGGCTGGACTAGATGACTTTTAAAGGATCCTTCTGAGCCAAACCATTCCATGATATTAAAGTGGAAATCTTAACCCCTGTATGCAGAGGGTGGGGAAACCCAGGAGCAGGAGGAGCAGGAGGTCCCTCCAGGAGTGATTCATCCCCCCACTGGCACCTCTGTCACAGCCCACACCCTCTCCAGGACCACCCCTGGGGCCTGCATGCTGGAGCCAAGGTCCCCAACCCACACCTGCTGTAAATCCCAACTGCACCACGGTCAGGCACCAGCTCTGGGGGAACTGTGGCCATTTGGGTGCCTCGTCCCTTCCCCATCCCATCCCAGCAAGCAGCAAGTACAGACCTCGGTCAGCAGGGAGGGTGGCTGTTCTGAGGGGTACACCCAGCCACTGCTGCACTTCTGCGTGTCGTTCAGTCCGTAGGCCAGGATGGCATCGAGCTCCCAGTCCACCGGGGAGAACATGGAGCACTGCTGGAACTCCCCGTCCGCGCCGCGGGGCAGGGTGAGGTTCAGCTGCTCTTCCTCCGTCAGGTTGGGGCCCACGGCGCGGATCCAGCTGGTGTCACAGTGGTGAGGCACTTCCACAACCATGAAAAGCTGGCAGAACTGGTGGAAAGCCACACTGAGGCAAGGGATCACGGAGAGCAGCACCAGGCATTTCTGGAATCGCCCAAAATCACCAACTGCTTTCAAAATATCCCCGACACCTGACATTGGTGGCTGTGTCTGGGACAGGACAGTGCCGGGACAGACTTCTCAGAGGGCTGGAATTAATGTTTAAACCTCAGATAAGTTCTGCAGTCATAGGCAGTCACTAGAAGTACACCATGTAATATATTAATCATCCCTGTGGCACCCACAAACACCCAGTGCTGGCTGGAGCAGAAAGACCCCTGCTCCAGGGAACCTGGGCCACCTCCTCTGCCAGGGCTAGGTGGCATGGACAGGGAACAGACTCTTCTCCACAGGGACTACAAGAGCTGCAATTGATAAACCACTCAGAAAAGCCAGGTTCAGAGGGGCCAAAATGAGCCCAGCAGTGAGGCAGAGCTGAGAGCAGCCCAGAATAAAGGTAATTATGTTAATACATGGGCAGAACCAGAGATGAGGAAGAGCAGCCAGTTCATTTTAATTCCAGGGGATGGGAGATGCCATCTCTTTCATCTTTTGCAGCTTCCCTGTGCAACACAAGTAAGCCAGGCACAGGATGTCCCTTCCCACCAGCTCTGGGCCACCCTGCAGGCTGCTGGGGGCTAAATACGGGGAGGGCTGGGGAGAGGGTAAAGAAAGGATGGAGAAATTTGACACAGGGCAATGGTACTTGAGGCCAAAATGCCTAAAATGATCACTGAGAATGTTGAGTTCAGCACTGCTCAGCTCATCCCTCATGTAGGTAAAGCATTTGCCTGGGATTCCTTTGAGATGTCCAGGAGGTGCCCAAAAGCCACTTGGATACTCCTGCTGCCCACAGATCCACGAGAAGGGCATTGTAAAGCATGCTGGAAAACAGACCATGGGTTTGTTGCATCATGCCCCACTGGGGTTCACCAGGGCACCCACAAAGAACAATTACTGTGGAGGAGAGCAGGGAGTGCACTTCATGCTTTCACCACTTGTCAGGGTATAAATCCTCTCAGTTTATAAATCCACACCAGCCTGTGTCATCCTAAGGCATTCCTAGACAGGGGAAGCTCATTCCCAGTTGCACAGGGCATGCAGAGCTTGGAGCAAACCTCTCAGCTGCAGACAAGCTCTCAGGGCAGCATCCTGCATGCCTTCCTGGCTCCATTTCTGCACACAACTCCTGCAGAGATGCCCTTGTGGAATGGTTTGGGTCAGAAGACACCTTAAAACTCATCCAGTTCCACCCCTGCCATGGACAGGGACACCTCCCACCAGATCACGTTACTCAGAGCTCCATCCAGCCTGGACTTGATCTCCCTTTCCCCACCGAGTCTTCCTGAGGCTGTCAAACCTCCCACCACCCCAAACAGAAACATCCCAGGGGTTGCAGGCACCACTGACAAACCCCTTCCTGAAGACACACCAACCAACCCAGTGACAAGGAAACCACACATCAAACACTTGGCAATGGACAATTTGTTCTTTATTGATTAAAAATTAGACACATGCAGTAAAATACAAAGTCCAAAAAAGGAAAAAAAGCCTGACTATTTTACATCTTTCATTATAATCTACAATACACCAAAGTTGTGAAGAGGATCCATTTTCATTAACAGAGCATTGTCCTTAAAAGTAGGAACTAACTTAAAATTTCCACCTGCTTCCAGGTGCAGATCAGAAATTTGCACAAAAACCAAATTCTTAATGACACTGGAAAACAATTATGAACAGCATTGGCACTTACTGGAACAACATCAGAAAAGACAGTTGTCTAGCACTGTAATAGCCCAAGTAAATATTCCGGACCCCTACCCAAAAGATCTGGAGATCCATAGAGCAAACCCCAGCAGCTTCTTCCTCACTTATTTTCTCCATTAAAGAACTACGGAACCTTGGGTTAGCGTGAGCTCAAGCTCTCTAAGTCCTGGCTTTGGGAAAATGGGGAATAACAATAAATAGATGCTGCATTGTTCCATTTGAGCAGTTTGAGTCCTAACCTTCCTCAGCACCATACACAAATGAATGAGGAGGTCCCCAGGGCATGCAGGCAGAGGGAAAATAATACTGTACCACAACTACCTTGTCTCTGTATCCTAAAGGCTCCCAACACATCCACACTGAGCACAGGGTGACTGGAAAATCAAGGTGCCAGCCTGCTCTTCCCAAGCCGACAAGCTCAATGGGGGACACTGTAGGGAGTGCTTTGTGTCAGGCAACAGGGAATGGTGCCAACAAACAGTTGCCAACCCAGCCACCACCAACTCCCTGCTATCGGGCACTTGCTTCCTGGGCTGTAGAGAGCATCAGCTCAGCACCCCAGGATGATCTCACTCCCCAGTTCTCATCTTCCTCTCCCTCCCCTTCACACTCGCCAGCCATAGGGCTACAAACAGCCCACGGGGACACACCCAATATCCACCCAGAGGCTACAAGCAACAGGGGCGGTCAAAAAAGAACATGCACAATTCAGGAAGCTTCCACAGCTGTTCATAGAGAACGAAATATAAATACAGATTGTTCATCTGAAGACTTGGACGTTTAAAAAAAAAAAAAAAAGGAAACAGAACAAAAATCCTAATTGAACCTAGTCATTCCGCTCTGTTTCTGCATTGTTTGTGTCTGATGGAAACAAAGCTCGTTTCCATCTGCATGTTAAATTACAGACTTACAACTTCTGTGTAGAAAACACTCCAGAGCCAAGAGCAGTTACAAAGGCCAACTGTGAAACAGTAGGAAAAAAAAAAAAACAAGAGTCAACACCATTTATTATTCACATATTGCATTACAAGTGTCTCTTATCAAACTCAGAACATAATTTATATTATTCATGTAGAAACTCAACATCAACAGCACATGGAAAGAAAAGCTAAATACGTGTGTGACAGGGGTGCAGTGACATCCTGATCAAACACCGAGGCTTGGGCTGACGTGCAGCCCGACGACCCAAGGGACTGAGTGCAGGAGGGACAAACCCAGTGCCCGCTTTTGCCCAGCACAGCCACTCTACTGGTGATTCTTTATTGCTGTAAAACACAACAGGGATGGTTCCACGGGTACCAGCTTGCAAAGGACTGGGGAACATGTTGGGAGACCAGCTAGGCATGACCAAACTGGGTTTCAGGGACACTTGGAAGTGCATCTGTTCAAAAGGCAGAGTGACATAGATGTCCTCTCCCTGTGACCATGGATATTGTGTTCAGCATCTGAAAGACCAGTTTACAGGCAGCAATGCCTCCCTGGTCTGCTTCAAGAACAGACTATGTCTAAGATGCAGAATGAAAGCAGCATGAAGGACTGCTGAATGTAAATTAAAAGGTTCAGCCCTCATGCCATGCCTGGCACTCATGTGGAGAGAACCAAAATGATAAAGAAAAAAGAAAAAAATTAAGGCAGTTTACATAGGGAAGCTGACTTCTAACACCTCAAAGTCAAAGAACTTCTCCAAAACACAAACACAAGGGAAGGAAGTTCTCCCTCCTGTGGGTTAAGACTTTGCTTGCTTTCTCAGGTGCAAGCATTCAAACCAGCAGTTTTAAAACACACAGCCAAAGAGAAGCAGATTTCTCAGCACTCCAGGTGACCCAAACAACATGTACATTGGTGTTTCAGATAGAAGGAGAAGCAGGTAAAGAACAAACAAAAAAAAAATCCGTTCAGTATTAAAACTTGTGCAAAAACAGCAAGTGAAAAAGAATGAAACCACATGTAAGCAAACACTTAGGCAAGATCATCAGAGCAGTGGAACCCCCTGCTTCGTACTCAGTAGTATTTTTCTTTAAAGTAAGGCAATAATAAAATGAACATGCAGGCAATGACGTGTTGGGTCTGCATGTTTGAGATGACAGATACAAAAACATGAGAGTTGTTTACAAAAGGTGTAAACGTCATCGGTAATTTCAGGAAGGTTTGTGATCCTATTAAGGAAAATGTTAAAGCTTCTAGGAAGGGGGCTGGAGTTCAATTCTTTGGCAGTAGTGGTTTTTTTTTTTAGGCTAACAGAAGCATTACGAATATGCACATGTGGGTTCTCTGTTGGGAAACATCTCCTGGATCCAATGTTTAGCTGATGCTGAGCTGTGCAAATCCTATAAGTTTGCCATCATCCGGAATTTCTGAGCCATCGACACCAGATGCCTGAAACAGGGAACAGAGATCCAAATAGCAACACACATGTTCTACCTTCCAGCAGAAACCACAAGCAGGTGTATCAGACATGGTGGGGGGAAGCAGACACAGGACAACTTTGCACTGTATTCAGTAGTTTGCACTACCCAAAGTTAAAATTGAGTGCTTTTGTATTTTTGCCTTTTTCTTTTTTTTAAGATATGAAGGGCTGGGACTGAAGTTTTACCATGTCCACTCCAACTAGACATTATACATACAGTAACTGGGATAAAACCAAGTGAAAACTCCTTACAGGAAGAGTAAAAAATAAGAGCACTTACTCCAAATAACCTGATTAAGCCTTTGCTTTGCCACTGGAACTCCCCCCTGAATTTCACCACCTCAAAGATTTACCTGCTCTGCTTCTAGTTTTGGCTCTCTTCTTTGACCCACCACTCTTCTATTTTCCTTTTTTCTTCTTCATTTCCCCATTTCCTCCAGAGGGACAATGTATCTGGACCCTCCCTCATTCTCTTCCTCCAAGAAAGGAGTCTGTGGCAATTCTTAGCCCATCCACCTGCCTTGAAATATTTCTGCAAGTGCACATCCCAAGCCCCAAAAATACCCCTCTGCAACATTTACATATATTAATTAGCACATCATATCATGCTTATTTATCCCAGGTGCTGCTCAGAGGATACAAGCAGGGAGCCTGCAGTGCCTACAGTTATACAACCAGTAAGAAGCTTTGGAAAAGAAGGGAGGATTTAGAGTGCATACATCAGATGCCTGCAGTAAACATCTACATGCAATGCCTTCTCCTTGCAAGGGACAACTTGATCAATTAGGGAACAGGAATAAATACCAGTCTGAAAGTGATGGATCTGTTTGCCTGGGGCTCTTCCACAATTTTCTGCAAATTAGCTGCAACTGAAATCACACAGACACAAAGAAAATGGGCAGATATTAGGACAGGCTGGAGAAAAACATCCCAAACTCATTAGTCCTCTTTCTATTACTTCACAAACTTTGAATTCTTAC